AGAGAATCAGGTAATTTGTCTAAGTCATCCATCTGGCAAAAACCTGTTCCTTTATAATTTTGATGGAGGGACTATCAGCATTTGAAGAAAACAGTGAACCCACTACTCTATAGAACACCGCTACTATATTCAATCATGGAATTAGGAGAGAAGGTTTGGGAAAAACAGGACATATGCTGATGAATGCAAGGCCACCATTCAAACGGGTAAAGAGAGAAAAAACAATTTTTTTTTAAATAGGGTCTTGCTGTGATCAGGAAGGAGTGCAGTGGCACAATCATAGATCACTGCAGCCTCGAATTCCTGGGCAATCCTCCTTACCTCAGCCTCCCTAGTAGCTGAGACTATAGATGCAAGCCACCATTCCAGGTTAATTTTTAAATTTTTTACAGAGATAGGGTCTTGATATGTTACCCAGGATGGGTCTTGAACTCCTGGGCTCAAGCAATCCTCCTGCCTCAGCCTCCTAAAGGAATTACAGATGTAAACCACTGCACCCTGCCTAAATAATTCCTCAGTTGTGAAAAATATCTAATTTTAGCCATGAATGCAAATGAATACATTTTTTATCATTATAGTTGATAAAAGAGTCAATATCCTTTTTTTCATTTAGCGGTGACAAATATACTGAGATAATAAGGGAAACTACAGCTTAATAAATAAACTGCTCTTGTTCTTTCAGTAATTTTTAGGATTAAATCTCTTCATCAATATCACCAAACTGAGCAGAAAGCATCCATCTAGAAATTCCTTAATCAATCTAAAAATTTCTTATTATAAGTAAGCAGAAATAATAGGATTAAATCTGTTCATCAATATCACCAAATTGAGCAGAAAGCATCCATCTAGAAATTCCTTAATCAATCTAAAAAATTCTCATTCTAAGTAAGCAGAAATAAAAGTAATTGGCCAGGTGCGGTGGCTCATGCTTGTAATCCCAGCATTGTGGGAGGCCAAGGTGGGAAGATCACGAGGTCAGGAGTTTGAGACCCGCCTGACCAAATGGGCTGGTCTGTTTGAGACAGTGAAACCCCATCTCTACTAAAAATACAAAATTTAGCTGGGTGCGGTGGCAGGCACCTGTAATCCCAGCTGCTCAGGAGGCTGAGGCAGGAGAGTCACCTGAACCCGGGAAGCAGAGGTTGCAGTGGGATTGTACCACTACACTCCAGCCTAGGCAACAGAGCTAGACTCCTTCTCCATTAAAAAAAAATAAAAAGTGCCGGGCGCGGTGGCTCAAGCCTGTAATCCCAGCACTTTGGGAGGCCGAGGCAGGTGGATCACCAGGTCAAGAGATCGAGACCATCCTGGTCAACATGGTGAAACCCCATCTCTACTAAAAATACAAAACATTAGCTGGGCATAGTGGTGCGTGCCTATAATCCCAGCTACTCAGGAAGCTGAGGCAGGAGAATTGCCTGAACCCAGGAGGCAGAGGTTGCGGTGAGCCGAGATCGCGCCATTGCACTCCAGCCTGGGTAACATGAGTGAAACTCCGTCTCAAAAATAAATAAATAAATAAAAATTAAAAAATAAAAATAAAAAGTAATTATGAATCTACAGTTAGAATGGCCTAATCATGAGATTTACTCTATCACCCCTATCAGTTCAGTGCAAGCAGCTTAAAAACCAGAACTATATATGGATTCCTAACAACATGAATCATCTTTTCTTTTTTTTTTTTTTAAGATGGAATCTCACTCTGTCACCCAAGCTGGAGTGTAGTGGCATGATCTCGGCTCACTGCAACCTCTGCCTCTCGGGTTCAAGTGATTCTCCTGCCTCAGCCTCCCAAGCAGCTGGGACTACAGGCGGGAGCCACCACACCCAGCTAAATTTTGTATTTTTAGTAGAGATGGGGTTTCACCATATTGGCCAGGCTGGTCTTGAACTTCTGACCACGTGATCCACCCACCTCAGCCTCCCAAAGTGCTGGGACTACAGGTGTAAGCCACCATGCCTGGCCGATGAATCATCCTTATACCTCAATTCCATCATCCCTTTACCAACCAAAGGAATGAAAGAACAGAAATGACAGCATCAGATCTTAGATAGGAGTCTCTATCCTTATCAACAAAACTATATATATATATGTCTATAAGTAGACATACATAAATATATACACACATGTATGAGATTGCAAATCGCAGAGGCTTAGATTCAGATAATTCCTGCCAATGTCTCATCAGCAGATCCTTAAATACAAGATATACACTAGAGCCAATAGCCCTACTGATGACCACTTCAGTTAAAAACACAGTTTACAGGGCCGGGCGCAGTGGCTCATGCCTATAATCCCAGCATTTTGGGAGGCCGAGTTGGGCAGATCATTTGAGGCTCAGAGTTCGAGACCAGCCTCACCAATATGGTGAAAACCTGTCTCTTAAAAAAAAAAAAACAACAACAAAAAACCAATTTACAGAAGCCTAGGAGGGACCCTGAAGGATACTATGAAAAACAGAAACAAGAGCACTTTTACAATACCACCATCACTTCAACAAAGCAAAAGTCAAGAGAAACTCCCTTTTCTACCTCGACAGCTCTATTTGGCACCAAATTTCTGAAGCAAGAGCACACTACATGCTAGGACCTGAAGGCTGCCATCTGTTCTACTCTGTACAAATGGGCCATCTCTTGGCAAGATTATAACGATGCCTGATGTGATGAATAAAACTTAGGCACTGCTCCCAGGCTAAAGTACTAAAAGAGATGAGACAGAGGGGCTCAGACTGAGTTTCACATAAGGTAAAACAGTGGGGCTTCTGTCTCTCAAGTATATAACTTCATACAGATTCTAGGCAAGATATTTTATCTTATTCCCTAGGATGAGGTTAAACACATAGTAGGGGGCCAGGCATGGTAGATCACGCCTGTAATCCCAGCACTTTGGGAGCTGTGGTAGGCAGATCACCTGAGGTCTGGAGTTTGGAAACCCTGTCTCTATTACAAATACAAAAATTAGCCAGGCATGGTGCGGGGCACCTGTAATCACAGCTACTTGAGAGGCTGAGACAAGAAAATAGCTTAAACCCTGGAAGCTGGTCTCGGGAGGCTGCAGTGAGCCAAGACTGTGCCATTGTACTCCAGCCAGGGCAACAAGAGTGAAACTCTGTCTTAGAAAAAAAAAAAAAAGACATACCAGGGAACAATCCACAGAAGAAAAGAGTCTGTACACACAGCAGGGATTTATACACTGTTCAAACTCATAAGAACATTTTCCTTTCCCAGCAAGGGTCCTAGGACTGTCAACTTAGAACAGAAGTCTTATTGAATATGTGCTAACCGTTCATTGGAGCATTTCTTTTAGAAAGCACTCCACTACTCTTAGTTTGTATCTGTTCTCCCTGTGGATATAGAAGAGCTAGATTACCTTTCTTTGCTGGGAGAGAACACAAGTTCCCCTGATGTCTCAAGGTGACTAATAGAAAACAAACTTAGATTCATCTATGCAGCACTCTAATGTCCGATAATCTCTTCTTGCTCCCACTGAATTGAATAGCTTTCAGCTAAACTAGTAATCACATCACACAGAAATACCAGTTGAAATACAATACTAGTTAGGTAGTTATTATAGTTGGTATGCAGGGGACCAAAACAAGATACTTCTAGAGCCAAAAACTATGATCATACACTGAATAGAAATTTAGGACAGAAATATATAAAACGTATTAACAAAAAAGAGAGTGGTATTCATTCTGTATTCACTAAATATTTATTAAATTATCTACTGCATTCTAGGTACCATACTAGATGATTAAAAATACAGACAGATGCCATCTAAGCTTTAGGGAACAGGCAATCCAGTAAGGAAGAATGACAATGAACAAGTAAATTACAGCTAAGATGATCGTTATGAAAGAAAAACTAGAATGCTCTGAGTGTGTATCTAGGGCACATAATCTAGTTTCTGTTTCTGTTTTTGGTGGGTATAGGAGAACAAAGTATGCTATAAGGCTAGATAAAGGAAGGCTAAAAAAGTAAAAATATGTTATATGCATATTCTTGTGAGAAAATAAACACATAAAAATAAAAAAGCAAAATGTCTGTTTCCAGCAACAGCCAGAGAAAAATTTTAACTCTACCTGACCTCTTGAAAAGTATATCCCTACTGTGATAAGATACATCAGATCCCAGAAACCTGATTGTAATCTGCACTCCACATAATAAACCTTCCTACCTAAAAAGGATGTACTAATTATCTAAGACCAGTATACAATTCACTCTGTAGCTCCATTTCATATTATATAAATGAATAAATAGACATTTTGGTCTGTGAAACAAGATTTCATGAGATTGGTAAGCTAGTCTTTGGGGACTGATCAAGTCTAGGTGATAAGAATGGGTGCTAAAACTGAGTTTCTGAAGAATAAGGTTGATGATTCATCTTGTACTATGTTTCATCAATGATCAGTCAGCCATCCCATCTCTATTACATTTCTCTGCTCTCTATAATTTCAATAAATATGATATTAGGAAGTGCTGGGGAATGGGTTAAAAATTTGCTAAGAAAATAATCTGGGCAGGGCATGGTGGCTCACGCCAGTAATCCCAGCACTTTGGGAGTTTGAGGAGGGTGGATCACGAGGTCAGGAGATCAAGATCATCCTGGCTAACACGGTGAAATCCCATCTCTACTAAAAATACAAAAAATTAGCCAGGTGTGGTGGCACACTCCTGTAGTCCCAGCTACTCAGGAGGCTGAGGCAGGAGAATTGCTTAAACTGGGAGGTGGAGGTTGCAGTGAGCCGAGATCAAGCCACTGCACTCCAGCCTAGGCGACAGAACAACTGTCTCAAAAAAAAAAAAGAAAGAAAAAATCTGAGCACAGTGCAACTCATAATTAATTGTTAAGGGGATGAATGAACAATAAACTTAAAAGAGACTTATTGTTTCCTCTAAATCAAGCTGCAGAGCTGCAAAGGAGGCAGTGACTAAGGCCACTGAAACAGCCAAGATTTTCAAAGAAGCAAATGTGTGTGTGTAAAAACACATATACATACCTGCACTCAAAGCAATACCAGTGCCACGGTGGCAGATGGACATCGCCATGGGAAGAGACCAACTGTAAAACACACAAAGACAATTTTTAGAAGGAAAAGATAGAAAAGAAATAAATAAAAACAAAATAAAATAAAAAATAAATAGAAAGGCAAAGATGACACCACAGTAAAGTTCATCTTGGCAAAAATATAAACTAATTCTGAAATAGGTGCTGTTTTCGTTTTTTCTTTTTCCTTTTTTTTTTTGAGACAGAGTCTTGCTCTGTCACGCAGGCTGGAATGCGGCAGCCCGATCTTGGTTCACTGCAACCTCCACCTCCCCTTCCAGTTTCAAGCAATTCTCCTGAATAGGCACTATTTTCTAAAAACAAAAACAAACAAAAAAAAAAACCCAGCTTTCAAATTTCTGTGTTTTCACTTTTTTTTCTTCCCCACAGACGGAGTCTTGTTCTGTCACCCAGGCTGGAGTGCTGTGGTGCAATCTCAGCTCACTGCAACCTGTGCTTCCTGGGTTCAAGAGATTCTCCAGTCTCAGCCTCCTGAGTAGCTGGTATTACATCCACTCACCACCACATCTGGCTAATTTTTGTATTTTTAGTAAAGACAGAGTTTCACCATCTAGGCCAGGCTGGTCTTGAACTCCTGACCTCGTAATCTGCCCACCTCAGCCTCCCAAAGTGCTGGGATTACAGGCATGAGCCACCGTGCCCAGCCATGTTTCCACTTTTTACTTTAAAAATACAAACCTGGGCCAGGCACGGTGGCTCACACCTATAACCCAGCACTTTGAGAGGCTGAGGCAGGGGGATCAGCTGAGGTCAGGAGTTTGAGATCAGTCTGAACAACATGAAGAAATCCCATCTCAACTAAAAATACAAAATTAGCCCGGCATGGTGGCACACTCTTATAATCCCAACTACTCAGGAGGCTGAGGTAGGAGAATCACTTGAACCCAGGAGGTGGAGATTGCAGTGAGCTAAGATTGCACCACTGCACTCCAGACTGGACAACAAGAGCAAAACTCCATCTCAAAAAATAAAATAAAATGATATTGGGAGTTTAGGTCAGCCTGACCAACATACAGAAACCCCATCTCTACTAAAAACACAAAATTAGCTGGGCATGGTGGCACATGCCTGTTATCCTAGCTACTTGGGAGGCTGAGGCAGGAGAAATGCTTGAACCCAGGAGGTGGACGTTGCAGTAAACCGAGATTGTGCCACTGCACTCCAGCCTGGGCAACAGAGTAAGACTCTGTCTCAAAAAAAGAAAATGCTACAATAAATTACCTATCTCAAATTTTTATATCCAGTCTTCTGGATTTGGTATATATTTCTTAATCCACAGTAGTTGTGAAATACTTTTTGTCATCAAACCCCTTTTTAAATCATGCATCATCAACTTTCCATAGAAGGACAACCAACATTGTTATTCTAGACCTAGTTCTCACGCTCAAGAGAGAACTGGTGGGTAAAATGGAAAGAACAAGAATTTCTGTAGAAACTTAACACTCATCTTGGCATGTTAGCTTAGACAAATACCAAACATAATCAAACCATATATTAAACATTCTAAAGATAAATGAGGAGGTTAAAAAAGATCTCAAAAAATTCTACCTACATAATGAAAATGGTCACAGTAAGAAAGGAGTATTCCCAAATAAATTAAAAATATTAATACTAGCTAGATACCACTCTGATCAACTCAGATTTAACAACAGAAATACAAAAGGTGGAAGAGCCACATAACCAAGGGCAGAGAACAATGGGGTGATTTGGCAAGAAGAATCAGGAGACTGAAACCCAGAATGAGCTGAGGCTTGCAAAAATCTGAAGGACAACAAAAAGGAGCTTTTAAAATTGTATTCTGAGACAGTGAGCCTCCTAACTGGGATGAGCAATTTTATGCTAATTGATGACAGAGTGTGAAACAGATTGCACAACTATTTTATCTGTCAAAGAGAATGATTATCAGCATGAAAAAGACTGAAGAAATATTGATTTGAAAGACTTGAAACCCTAAAGAGGTGAGAAAATTAGAAGATTCCAAACACACTTGGGGCTCTGGGACCAGATGAATCAAATCCCATGACTGAAAGAGCTAATAGAAGAAACATATGCACTGTTTTAGAAATCTTTCAGAAATACTGATATAGAAAATGGGAGTGATGTAATATGAAACTGCTGAATTCAAATGTTACCCTAATTTTCAAAAACAGTTAAAATCATAGCCTGGTTAGCCCAGTAATGACAAGGTAAAAGATTTTGTTGTCTAAAAATAACCACATTATTTCCAGTCCCTCATGATCTTCCAGAATCTTGTCATTTCTCATCAAGCAAGTTATTTAGCCTCTACCCTTGAACCTGGGCAGGAAATGATGCTCAACTGCTTCAAAAGATAGAATGCAGCAGAAGCGATGCTGCGTGACTTACAAATTCTCGTTCCTCCTTCATCCTATGTGGAAACCCAAAGCAGCTTACACAGATATCATGTGAAAAGGCCTATGCAGAGAGAAAATAAGGGCCCTATCCAACAGCCAGAATCAACCCAAGACACGTGAATGATTGGATCTTCAGATTAATTCAGCCCCTAGCCTTTGTGTTTTCCAGCTGAGGTCTCAGGCATCATGGAGCAAAGATAAGTCTTCTTCACTAGTCCCTTATGAACATTCTACATCTTGATTACAGAAAATCAAGATTGTGGCCAGGCACAGTGGCTCACGCCTGTAATCCTAGCACTTTGGGAGGCCGCGGTGGGCAGATTGCCTGAGCTCAGGAGTTTGAGACCAGCCTGGGCAATATGGCAAAAAACAAACAAACAAAACAAACAAACAAACAAACAAAACAAAACAAAAAAAACCACCCTGTCTCTATAAAAAATACAAGAATTACCCAGATATGGTGGCATGCACCTGTAGTCCCAGCTACTTGGGGGCGCTGAGGCCGCAGGATTGCCTAAGCCCGGGAGGCGGAGGCTACAGCAAGCAGTGATCCTGCCACTGTACTCCAGCCTGAGTGACAGAGGGAGACCCTGACTGAAAAGCAAAAAATAACAACAAAAAAACACCTCCAGAAAAGTGAAAACATTTCTCCAATGGCCAAGACTGCCAATGGCCAATAAGTACATGAAAAGATATTTAACATCCCTAACCATTTACTTCCAAGCCTCTCAAAAAATCCAAAAAGTGGTTAATAGAAAATATGATTTCAGATATCTCAGATATCTTTCCCTGACAAGCCACTCTGGAAATAGCCCCATGTTCCCGGCTGCTTTCCCCTCACCAACCCTAAGTATGTCTGGAGTTACATAAAAAAAGCAAACAAGGTAGTGAAAGAATCACCTCACCAACCTACAGCCATTCTTTATATGGCCTGTGAAAAAAGGCCAGGGCTTTAAATATAGATTCAGAATAATTTGGGAAGCTCTTTTTCATTATAATTCTTCCCCAAAACTTTTATCTCTTAAAAAATAAGATTCACCATTAAACAGGAAGAAATGAGATCACTTATTAGTCTCCTTCTGCTTTAGTGGCATGACCAGTTTCTACAAACAGGATTATTCCTGGAATCTGGCTTGGAAAAAAACTTAAGGGTTATGGTATTTGTGGAGGTGGTTAAAAAATGGCCAGCCTCACTGGCAGAAACCCAAGAGAGTAGCAGAACTCAAGATGCTTTGCTGGGTTAGCCTAAAAAGGAAAAAAAAAGCAAATTTACAGGGACTTATTTCAAAGACATCAGCAAAAAACAGCTATCAATGCCACTTTTGGAGATAAACAGAGATGTGTACATATGCATGTATGATGTATGTATGTATACACTTATATACATACACATGTGGTGTTTGTATGACAGAGAATGCATACATACAGATGCTACCTCTATCCACAGGGAGCCTAGAAGCAATGACATACCAGTAGCAATGAGCACATCTAGCACCCAGATACTGACTTCACAAGAGTCATTTTGAAGAACTCCTATTGGCCAGGTCTGGGACAATTTGAACACCAAAATAAATAATAACAGGGGCCTTGGCCTGGTAGCTCACGCCTGTAATCCCGGCACTTTGGGGGGCAAAGGCGGGAGGATCATGAGGTTAGGAGGTAGAGACCAGCCAGGCCAACATGGTAAAACCCAATCTCTACTAAAAATACAAAAATTAGCCAGATGTGGTGGCACATGCCTGTAATCCCAGCTACTCAGGAGACTGAGGAAGAAGAATCACTTGAACCCAGGAAGCAGAGGTTGCAGTGAGCTGAGATTGCACCACTGCACACCAGCCTGGGCAACAAAAATAAATAAATACATACACAGTATAATCCTTTGGGCAAAATAATGCTTAAGTCTCTATTATCCTTGAGTCCATACTGATATAGAAAGTAAGCATTACCCTATCATAACAAATAAATCTAGAAAATATTATATAAAATTAATAACACATTTGGCAACTATCTCGGTAATAAATGATTTAGGCAAGTACCTCCAACAGATATTGATGAGTAAATATCTGATGAGAAAGACTATTTAGTTTCAAAGTATCTCCCCCCACAAAATATGTATTAATTAATAAATACAACATCCTTATTCAATAACTTTACGGTAGAGAAATCTAGCAGACACATCTTAAACAGTGACAAAAGTTAACATCATCAATAACGGGATAAATCATCAGCACCTGCCTCCTGATACAATGTACACAGAGAACTATAGCATTACTGCAGGGGTATTCCTGCCAAAAATGCATAAATCATAAAACAGCAAATAGCCGGGTGCTGTGGCTCACACCTGTAATCCCAGCACTTTGGGAGGCTGAGACATGCAGATCACCTGAGGTCAGGAGTTGGAGACCAGTCTGACCAACACGGTGAAACCTCGTCTGTGCTAAAAATACAAAATTAGCTGGGCATGGTGGTGAATGCCTGTAATCCCAGCTACTCGGGAGGCTGAGGCAGGAGAATTGCTTGAACCCAGGAGGCAGAGGTTGCAATGAGCCAAGATCTTGCCATTGCACTCCAGCCTGGGCAACAAGAACAAATCTTCGCCTCAAAAAAAACCAAAAAACACCAAATAAACCCAAATAGAGGAACATTCTAAAAATGTCTAGGTCATAACAAATAAGGAAAGACTAAAAATGTCTTCCATACTGTAGGAGATTAAAGAAACATGACAACTAAACATAATATATAATTCTAGGTTCAATCTTAGGCCTATAAAGGTCATTCATGGAGCGGCAAAATTTGAATGGGACCTAAGGTTTAGACAGTAACACTGGATCAATGTTAATTTTCTAATTAACATAGTGATGGTTATACTTTGGAGATTGTCTTGCAATTGAGGAAACACACACCCAAGCATTAAGAAGTTGTAGTAGGCAGGATAATGGCCTCCTTAAAGATGTCCATATTCTAATCCCTAGAACCTATGAATATGTTACCCTTTCTGGCAAAGGGGAATTAAGGTTGCAGATGAAATTAAAGTTGCTAATAAGACAACCTTAAGATAAAGAGACTAGGCTGTGTGCAGTGGCTCACACCTGTAATCCCAGAACTTTGGGAGGCCAAAGTGGGATGACAGCTTCATCCTAGGAGTTCAAAGTCAGCCTAAGCAACATGGCCAAACTCCATTTCTAGGAAATATTTAAAAATGAGTCAGGCATGGTGGTGCATGCCTGTAGTCCCAGGTACTCAGGAGGCTGAGCTGAAAGGACCACTTAAGCCTCTGAGGTTGAAGCGGCAGTGAGCCATGATCATTGCCCACAAGTTTTATTAAAAACTTGTAGAGCTGGGCATGGTGGCTCACGCCTATAATCCCAGGAGGAGGCCAAGGCAGGTGGATCACAAGGTCAGATGTTGGAGACCAGCCTGGCCAACGTGGTGAAACCCCATCTCTACTAAAAATACAAAAAAATTAGCTGGGCATGGTGGCACATGCTTGTAATCCCAGTTACTCAGGAGGCTGAGGCAGGAGAATCACATGAACCCAGGAGGCGGATGTTGCAGTGAGCTGAGATCGTGTCACTGCACTCCAGCCTGGGCAACAGAGTGAGACTTTGTCTCAAAAAAAAAAAGCGGGTTCTAACTAAAAAAAAAAAAAAAAAAAAAAAAAAAAAAAAAAAAAAAAAGCAGTGGGGCCGGGGGGAGGGAGGCAGAGAGTAAAAATTTTACGCTTTGCAGGCCAAGTGGCAAAGTGAGTGACTCCGTCTCAAAAAAAACAACTTGTAGAAAACTTGTGCATTTCAGCCTGGGCAACAAAGCAAGACCCTGTCTCAAAAACAAAACAACATAGACTATCCTAGATTATTAGGACGGGCCCAGTGTAATCATAAAGGTCTTTAACAGCAGAAGAGAGAAAAGAGAAAAAAGAAAAGCAGAAGAGGCTCACAGAAGAAAGGAGTCAAAGAAGAAATGTGATGACGGAAGCAGGGTCAACTGTTGTGACTGAAGAATTCAATTTAGCATTGCTGGTTCTGAAGATGGAGGAAGGAGGACACATGCCAAGGAATTCAGATAGCCTCTGGAGGCTAGAAAAGGCAAGGAAACGCATTCTTCCCTAGGGCCTCCAGAAGGAAACAGGGCCCTGCAAACACCTGGATTTCAGTCCAGGAAGATTTTGTCAGACTTCTGACCCACAGAACTGTAATAAATTTGTGTTAAGTCACTAAGTTTGCAATAATTTGTTATGGCAGTAAACAGAAAACTAGTATAGATTGTGGTGACTGAAAGAGCAGTGCAGCTGTTAACGACTACCCAAAAATGCTGAAGTGCCTTTGAAATTGGGCAGTGGAAGGGATTAAAATAATTTTTAGAACCATAATTTTTAAAAAGCCCAAATTGCCTTGAACAGATGTTAGTAGAAATATGGATGTTGCGTTGGTGAGGATGTGGATAAACTGGAACCCTTATACACTGCTAGTGGAAATGTACAATGGTGCATTTCTATTGTATTTTTAGTAGAGATGGGTTTTCACTATGTTGACCAGGATGGTCTTAATCTCATGACCTTGTGATCCACCGGCCTCGGCCTCCCAAAGTGCTGAGATTACAGGCATGAGCCACCACACCCGGCCCAGAATTTTCTTAATGGTAATTTTGCAGGATAAATTACCTTTCTAATGCTAGAAGATAGAATTTAGTCATCTCCATATAAAAAAGGCCTAAGATAATCCTTATGTTATCTCCCTTTACCCTGAAGGGTTCACCTTACCTACATAGCTGTATTTTAGTTGAGCAAAAGTGAGGGAAGTATCAGGTAGGCTAAAGATCAACCTTAAGAACTCACCCACTACCTCTAGATTCTCTGGCTCCAGAGTCCTTACCTGTAGATAGTGATGTGGGGAGATAAGGGACGGTTGGACCCTGTGTTCTTATTCCAGAACCGCTCCATCTCTTCTTTGGCTGTGGTTCCCAAAGGAGCAGCACTAAAATAAAACCAGAAAGTTTCAAAAGAACTAAAAGTAAGCTTGGTTTAATATTTTGCATAACTTTTTGTTAAGTTAATATTTTGCAATACAGGCCAGGCACGGTAGCTCATGCCTGTAATCCCAGCACTTTTGGAGGCTAAGGTAGGCGTATCACCTGAGGTCGGGGGCTCAAGACCAGCCTGACCAACATAGAGAAACCCCGTCTCCATTAAAAATACAAAATTAGCTGGGTGTGGCAGCAGGCGCCTGTAATCTCAGCTACTCTGGAGGCAGAGGCAGGAGAATTGCTTGAGCCCAGCAGGCAGAGGTTGCAGTGAGCCGAGATTGTACCATTGCACTCCAACCTGGGCAACAAGAGCAAAATTGTCTCAAAAAAAAATTGCAATACCTTTTTAGAAAAGGTTTTATTAGGGAAGCAGGAGCCTAGAAGAGCCAGAGTGACACTATTTTAAAATTGACTCCATCTTGCTACAGCAATAGAAAACAGAAAATAATAAAAATAAAATCAACTCCATCTTAAAACTAGCAAGGCAGATTCCTTGCCAGTCACAACCCACAGTCCTAAGATGTTTACAGATAAGGAAGCAGCTTGGTAATACCTGCAAAGACAAACTCCAACAACAGAAAGTCCAGATGTCCCAATACCCATAACAACATATGCTTTCAAAATAATTATTGTTATGCTTTGATGTCCTTACACACTAAAATGTCAAGGATAGTTTTCTTTAAATCAATAGAATAATAAATTTTGTCATGCTGTCTGCACCTCCGCATGTAAGCACAGCTTGGTTTGGTCTTTACATGGACAAGACCTCTATATAAGGAACACTTAGACCAGGCATAGTGGCTCAAGCCTATACTCCCAGCGCTTTGGGAGGCTAAGGTGGTCAGATAACTTGAGCCTAGAAGTTTGAGACCAGCCTGGGCAACATGGCAAAACCCCATCTCCACAAAAAATGTAAAGAAAATTAAGCCAGGCATGATGGTCCAAGCCTATAGTCCCACCTATTCAGGAGGCTGAGGTGAGAGGATGTCCTGAGCCCAGGGAGGTAGAGGCTGCAGTGAGCTGTGATTGCATGATGGTACTCCAGCCTCGGCAACAAAGCAACATTCTATCTCAAAATATTTTCAAAAAATTAAAAATCAAAAAAATAAAAATTTAAAGACATAGAAAAAAATATATAAAACAAAAAAGAAAAAAAAAAAAGAAGAAAAAAAGAAACTTAAAGAAAGCACATTCCTCCACTTGTTTCCTTAGGACATCCTACTATATAATGGAGTAGTTTCTAATAAACTTGCTTCTTTCATTGCGCTTTGCTACTCACCTTGAATTCCTTCCTACATGAGATCCAAGACCCCTCTCTTGGGGTCTGGGTCAAGACCCCTTTTCCAATAACAGTATGGTGGGCTAGACAAATCCACAGTATTGGGAAAACATGTTCCTCCACTTACCTTATTTTTATACCAAGCTTAATTCAGTTAATAACTTCAATCATCTGATGAGGTCATATCAGACGATAACTGATTTCTTTTTCTTTTTTTTTTAAGACGGATTCTTGCTCTGTCGCCAGGCCGGAGTTCAGTGGCACAATCTCGGCTAACTGCGACCTTCGCATCCCAGATTCAAGCAATTCTCCTACCTCAGCTTCCCAAGTAGCTGGGACTACAGGCGTGTGCCACCATGCCTAGCTAATTTTTGTATTTTTAGTAGAGATGGGGCCAAGATGGTCTTGATCTCCTGACCTCGTGATCTGACAACCTCGGCCTCCCAAAGTGCTAGGATTACAGGCATGAGCCACCACACCCAGCCAATAACTCTGCTTTCTAATCCCACCCAATACACAGGTCTGGCAGTGAAAGTGCAACTTCCTGTTGGGTGGCAGGGCAAGTGTATTTTTAAAATATTCACATAAATGGATTATGCTTTTCCAAGGCCAGAGTTTTAACTCATACATTACCATCTCCTTTCATCTGGCTTTTCAAGATTCCCTTTCAGGTTCTCAAAAATCAAGAACTAGATTCAGCTCGGTACCACAATAGTTTCTTGGTTTCTTTTGTCACTGGGCTAGGTTGAAACCAACTATTAACCAGCTACGCTCAGGCCAGGTGTGGTGACTCATGCCTGTAATCCTAGCACTTTGAGAGGCCGAGGCAGGAGGATCCCTTGAGCCCAGGAGTTCGAGACCATCCTGGGCAACATAGGGAGACCCTGTCTCTATAAATAAATAAATAAGAAATAGCTATCCTCAACAATTTATTAGGCTGAGCATGGTGACTTATGCTTATAATCCTAGCACTTTCGGAGGCTGAGGTGGGTGGATCACTTGAGCCCAGGAGTTCAAGACCAGCTTGGGCAACATGGTAAAACCCCTTCTCTACAAAAAACACAAAAACTAGCTGGGCATGGTGGTGTGCACCTATAGTTCAGCTGCTCAGGAGGCTGAGATGGGAGGATCACCTGAGCCCAGGGGGATTGAGGATGTGGTGAGCCATGATCATGTCACGGCACTTCAGCTGGGTGACAGACTGAGATCCTGTCTCAGAAAAAAAAAATCTATTATGTGCCTATATTAAACATGATTCCATTCCTTCAAGAAAATATCTGTCTAGAGATTATCTATTAATTACAAAAGGAAGTAACAGTAACTTTACAATAGAAAAATCCTAGCAGACATTTGTTATCCAAATGATCAAAGTTAAAAATTAGGCCGAGTGCAGTGGCTCACACCTGTAATTCCTAGAAGTTTGGGAGGCCAAGGCAAGAGGATCACTTGAGGCTAGGAGTTTAAGACCAGTCTGGGCAACACAGTGAAACCCCCATCTCTAATTTAAAAGAAGAAAGAGAGCCAGGCGCAGTGGCTCACGACTATAATCTTAGCACTTTGGGAGGCCTAGGCAGGCAGATCGCCTGAGCTCAGGAGTTTGAGACCAGCCTAGCCAAAATGGCGAAATCCCACCTCTACCAAAATTACAAAAAATTAGCCAGGTGTGGTGGTGAGCTCCTATGGTCCCAGCTACTCAGGAGGCTGAGGTGGAAGGATCCCCTGAACCTGGGAGGCTGAGGTTGCACTGAGCCATGATCACCCCCACTGCAACCCAGCCTGGGCGAGATCCCATCTCAAAAAAAAAAAAAAAAAAATGAATTGTGTTTGCAGCTGCCGCCACGCCGCCGTTGCTCTCCAATGCCAGCGCTGCCTCTCGCTGGCCAAGCTCCAGCCAAAGGAGAAGGGGGTTAAGTAAGGAGGTCTCTATACCATGGCTCGTAAAAAGCAGACTGCCCGCAAATCTACCGGTGGTAAAGCACCCAGGAAGCAACTGGCTACAAAAGCCGCTCGCAAGAGTGCGCCCTCTACTGGAGGGGTGAAGAAACCTCATCGTTACAGGCCTGGTACTGTGGCACTCCGTGAAATTAGACGTTATGAGAAGTCCACTGAACTTCTGATTCGCAAACTTCCCTTCCAGCGTCTGGTGTGAGAAATTGCTCAGGACTTTAAAACAGATCTGCGCTTCCAGAGCGCAGCTGTCGGTGCTTTGCAGGAGGCAAGTGAGGCCTATCTGGTTGGCCTTTTTGAAGACACCAACCTTTGTGCTATCCATGCTAAACGTTTAACAATTATGCCAAAAGACATCCAGCTAGCACGCCGCATACGTGGAGAGCGTGCTTAAGAACCCACTATGATGGGAAACATTTCATTCTCAAAAAAAAAAAAAAAAAAAAAAAA